TGGTGGTTTGCGTAGAAATAATCACCAGTCTGGAATAGTCCCAGACCACTTCATACCAGTGTCCTCTCATCACACCATTCAAGAGAAGTTAGGCAAGGCAATGAAGAATGACTTTGGCTGAAATTAGGATGAATTTTCCTTAAAATGGAGAACAGAATTATTTAGAGTTGAAGCACAGTGGATCAATTAGTAACTCTGTTCTTGGAAGAAAGAGCCTAGTATCTTTTATCTCAAGTTGTGAGGGCTTTGGGTTTGTATCTAAGCCAAACTATATATTTGTTGCAGAATGGAGCTCTTCAGTATGAGGAAGATAATGTAAGGGTTGTGGCATTGGGTCCATAGGTCAGAAGAAAATGTTGTCTGCAGATCAAGCAGTTCCTTTTCTTTTTTTCCCCCTATGTATTAATTTTCCTCATAGACTTCATCTCCAAGTATGTGCCTTATTTACTCTTTGAGATCTTAGAGAATTTCAACAAGGAGGTGACCAGGCCAGAAATAGGTTTCCCATAATCACACAACTGAGGTACTGTTCCCACTCATACACTTTGAGATGCTGAGTTCATAGAAAATAGAGCTGGAGGGGATCATCCAATACCTGACAGCATTCCCCAGATTTTTGATTTCTCTGTCATAGAATTACTTCAGTGATAGGTACTTTATCACCACTCAGTCAATTATCCCAACAGATAACTGTCCTTTCCTAAGTGACAAATACAGTCTAGCTATGAGAGAGACCGATTGCTTTCTTAGACATTATATGTTTTGCTCAAATACAACTTAAATGTATTTATGCTTTTCATCTTGTTTCTTCTCTGTTTATTTCTGTCTCTGTTACAAGTCATTCACTTTTTTCACTTTACCTTTCTCCCTACTACCTTACCTACCTACCTTCTACATTAAGTCACTCCCTCTCTTTTTTTGTGTTATGAACTATGTGTTCCTTGGTACCCTTGTATTTCTTTTCTTCTGTGTGTCTTTCCAAATACATGAAAAATAAACTCTCATGTGCCATCAGCCTCGCTACAGGGACTTATCTCTTGTCATCTCCCGGGGGGAGCTAAAATGCTACATTTTCATTCATTACATCAGAACCACTTTTTTTTAAAGAATGAGAAATTAAACAGTTGATTTCAAATACAGGTATAAAGGTGATGTTCTCGAAGTGTAACTGAAGAGCACAGGTAGCTATGGGAAGCACATGATATACTCTGAACATGCATATGCAGGGATAGGCATTATGTAGCCTCTAAAAAGGGAAATCAGAACTCCTGGCAATCATGGAAAACAGATGCCTGCTTCCTGCTGACTGTTGGAGTGTTTCATGTACAAAGTGAGTTAGAACACAGGTTAGAACCTGCAGGTTCCTAAACACCAGATTAAGTGACTTTATCTCAAATTTATGCCAGGGCGAGTACCATCCATAAGAGTTAAGGTGGAGCATCACCATAGGCAGAAAAATGTTTTACTTTTGTCCCCTCAAGCCGGGCCCACTGCAATATTGTAATGTACATGCAGTGCATAAGTACAGTACTGACCCTGGGGTACAGAAGGCTCCTTGGTCTAACAGGTGTATGTGGATCTCAAGATAATCTCCAAAATTCAGTGCAGCTCAAACACCAGTCTTTCTTAAAAAAACATTGCTTCTACTTATTCTTACAATTTTTCACAGAAAATTATCAGAGGCAACTACCCCTGCTATGGCAGGAAGTAGTATGATAAAAATAGGGGAAGACTAACAAAAGCTTATTCCATACTTAACAGCAGAAAACAAGTTTGTTTTCCAGCACATCTGTTTCATAGCACATTGCTGCTGCAATGTAAATTTTTTGAACTGCAGTATTTTCCCATCTGTGTTGACCAGGGTCTGTGCCTGAAAGTGCTGAGTGTCCTGGTCTGCAGCAGGACTGTTGGGGTCACCTGATACAGGAGCAGTTTGTGTTAGCCCTGAGGATCCACAGCAAAGAGGAGCTCAGACTGTGCCTCTCTGTGGAAAATCCGAACATAAGGGAAACTAAACTTGGTCTTGGGAGACAGAGGTTCTTTGTCCCCTGCATGATCTCAGACAACATCTTTCTTCTCTCCAAGCCTCATTTTTTCCTCAAAATGAGGACTGACAGCTTCCTGTCTTCTCTCTCTGAGCTCATGGCTCTTTTGGCTAGTGGCTGTTCCTGATTATGGGTAGGTCTGATGACTATGAGTCTGACCTCCAGGAGGCCTCTGGACACTTCTATATTATATTTGATAATGAAGTCGCCTGTCTTATCCAATCAAGACAAAAAAAGTAAGTCAAACCAGAGGAAACTGGCTCAGCACAAAATGGCAGCCTCAATGCAGTGAAGTCAGAGCCATTAGCTATTGACTACTATAGAAATACTGAAACTGCATCAGTGATTTCTTTTTTTAATTGCTATTTAGGGATTTAAATGAGATTTTTTAAAAGAAAGAAAGACAGAATGTTTAGTCTACAATCACTCTTTGCTGCCAATACAGGCTATCATATAAATTACTTAGACACTTTTAAAAATACATTATTTACTCAATAACCCATAATGGGTCCAGAGCTCCTTTTACACGCTATTATAGAAGTACATAATTGCTGAATTTTCAAATGGATATTTCTTCTAGGCAATAGTCTGTAATGGTTCCTTCAAAGCTCTTAGGCTTTTATCATAGGAAGGCCTAAGTAGAAAATGTTTAGTTCACCGATCATTGACCTAATAGAGAGCAACAGCTTTTTTGGAACAACTACTGTCTGTTAGGGCACATGATGCATGAATGACATTTTAAAAAATTCTTGGAAGTATGTGCTAGAGAAGAATTACTGTTCATGTGCAAAGCAAATACTGTTGATGAGATACTCAGAGTTCTTTTGTTTGGTTCTGCTTGGTTTATTTTTTTAGTTTCTGTGCAAGCCCACAAGCAAAAGAAAACAGCTGGTTTTGTGTATGAAATGCAAACTCAGTCTAGGACCCATCCGGATCAATGAGAGACACTTCAATTTTCTCAGAGGTCATCCAGCTCAATTAAAACATGTCTCAAATGAAAACACAATGTAAGAAGCTGAGTTCTGAAATCAGAGAATTAAGGGAATGCTGCAATGGGGCAAATCACATTTCTTAAAGTCATGCTGAACACAGAAAAACCCACAGGCCTATCCTGAGCTTGATCTAGAAAGAAATAGCCAACTTGACACTTTTTCAGCACTATTGCTATGAATCTCACAATTACTGAGCTGCTGTTCTCTACTTACATTTAGCTTTGAAGTGTGCTGTTTCCATTTCAAACACAAAGAAAGGTTCAGGTTCCTAAAACCTTGATATAAGAAAACACATTTTCTCTCCCTACACACTTTGGGCAGTAAAGTCCTTGGCACTACTGCCAAATAAATGTTGACTAGGTCTAAGTGCAGGACCAGCAAGGCTGAATGTGAGCTGGGTGCAGTCAGGCAGAGACCCTCAGAGAGGCTGAAGGACACCTCCAGCTCTGACCCTGATGGGCCAAGGGAGAGGTCCTTGCTGGGTGGCACAGCTCCCTCACAGACTTGGGGCCAATGGGACGTGCAGCTCACTAGAGGAGGCTACTGAATAGCCAGGTCAGGAACTGGGTGTGATCTTAACACTGTGTGCCATCAAAATCAGAACAACTATCCCAGCACAGTGCTCTTTTGTATGTGATCTGACAGCAGAAGCTCTCCCATGCCTTTCATCATTGGATTTCTCCAGCCTCATAAGGCTGCCTGGGACTCCCAGTATTCTGGCATGATTAACACAAAAAAATACAGTTGCTGGCAATTCTAATAGTTCCTTCTGTTTGATGCATCTGATCGAAGAGAAACTGAAATCACAGACCAATATGCACCCAGGCTGCACCAGTTAGCCTCATCATGCAAATGAGACACACTTGCAGGTGAACTTATTAGAGATCAAATAGGTTTAGGCACCGTGGATAATGAAGGCAGAGCGCTTATGTTGCAACAGTCAGAGCTAGAATTTAATCATGTTGTTGATACCTACTGCAGCAGCGAACAAACACAGAAACAGCCACAAAAATCAAACTGTTAGAATGAAAGGAAGGTATAAACCAGACAAATAATAAGAATAAAAAAAGACCCAAACCAAGGAGCATAGTGGTTTCAAGAAGGAAAAATTTGCATGTTAGATCTGGAAAGACTTTGAGCCCTGCTGCTTTCAGCTGAGCCCTGGATAAGTGAGGGTTGCAAGGAGAAACTGATGGGGTGTCACTGTCTGTTCCAGGAGAGAAATGGTTCCTACATACCTGTGGAGATGGCCCTGCAAGGGGAGGGGGGAATGCCAAGCAGCACAATGCTTGAAATCAACAATGGGTAAAACATAGCCCATACTGAGAAGTAGCATCTAATAGGAAAGAATTAAGAAAGGAACTGAGAAACAGCTCCTGGGGTGGAATTTATAACAGAAGTTACACAACTGACAGGCTGGATTAGCAATTTGGTAGACATTAAGAGTAAATAAGTTCTGCAGAGGCATTAGCCCCTTCTGTCTCAAAAAACCTCTCACATGTTCCCACCATCCTTTATGCAAACATCTGGTGAGACCTTGAGCAGGCCCACTAAGGTTTCCCTGTTTTAAGGAGCAAAGATGAGAATCAGCAGGTGAAACCTGCAAAATGGAAACATTTGGCTTCCTTTTGGCAGACAGAAATGGATAAAAATGCCACTCGGCATTTCTTCTAATACCAGTTGGTAGTAGAAGAGCTCCAAAGATGTCAACAGGAAGCCCTAGAGGTTACAGGGAATGATGTAACCATATGTGACATAATGCTCGTTGTAGAGATTTCCTGGAACTGATTAGTGCCATTCATGATAACAGCAGCCAGCGAGAGTGTGAGGACTGAGTGAAGGCCCAGGCAGCATTCAGGAGTTGGATATTTTTCTTTCTCTTTTAACACCATGTCTGGTCTCATTGTTTCAGATGCATAATAGAATAACTGTGTGGTATTCCCATGCAGCTTTGTCTGGGAAGACTTGGAAGCAGCACACTCACCCGCAATACGCAGCTGCTCCCACGCAAAGGGGTGCAGAGAGAGAACTGCAGAGGTGGAAAGACAACGAATACTCCAGGCTCCTCCTTCCTCCAGAATATCCTCCCCTCCATTCCTCTCTTCTTCCTAGAAGTATAAGGTGCAATTAGGTCATCCTCATCAGGATATTGTTTTATGCCTAGTCTATACACAAACACTAAGAATTGTGATCTATATTTAACAGGAGGCCTCTGATCTGTGTGAGTGGGTGGAAACTGATAGTGAGTGACATGGACACTGACAATGGCACACAAACTCCACAACACTCTTAAAACTTTTAATTGCATTTTAAAGTAATGTAACAAGGCAATGTTTAATGAGTACTTTGTTTAAGAAATTCTGACTTTACAAGCTAATTAAAGGGAAGGGAAGGTTACTGCACTAGGGCAAGAAACCCAGGCTGCTGAATGTCTTTACTACAGTAACACATAGTTCAAATTCAATTGGCAGCCTTGCAAATCTCCAGCCAGCCAGGATGAATGATTACTTTTTTTTTGACGGGCAAATAAATTATTATTATCATCATGATTATGTTAATAGAAAAAGTAAAGGATAGGCAAGTACTTTTTTTGCCAGGGCTGCTAAATTTTCATGACACTTTTTGCAAAGCTGTCATATGGCTGGGTTAGATGAAACTGGAAGACTTTATGTGCGTAACATTTAACTTTAAACATTCTTCATGGAAACTTACATGGCACAGAATTTACATATTCAATACCAGTGACAATTTACTTCTCCCATCTGAGCAGGGCTTTCAACTATGCCACTTGAACTAAATTAATAAACAGTAATTAGAGAATGTTGTGCGAGCGAGCTGTTGATGTTGAGAAGATTCTAATCAACACCTTCTTTTAAGGGCCAATTAAAGCTGAATGTATGCAATATAAACATCTTCTTGTATTTAGACATGAACTGGTGAACAAGGTAAAAAATAAAAATCAGAACAATTACAGCAGGTTAGATATGATCCAATGGAATGACGAATCTTCATTAATTGTGAAAGCAGCAGTAATTTCTAAAAACCACTGCCCACCTTCCATGGTGAAGCACTGACAACTTTTGCAAGTTAATTCTGACCAGCATAAACCTTAATGCTTCCATTGTCAGGTTTTCTCTCAAAGCAGCTCTGTAGCTGCCTCCAATTTCCACTGCAGTATTCACCTGTCTGTAAGACAACCCGGCATCTAAAGTGAGTCCAGAGCTGCAGTAGAAAGAAGGCTTCCCTGGGGGGAGGCAGTAAAGGCAAATGTAGCCATCCTATTACTGCTGCCTGTATAGCAGAGAGAGGCTCCCTGGCAGGTGATCTGGGGAAGGATTTGCACAATGCAGCCCCCACCAGCACTGCTAGTGGGAATACAAACACAAGGATGAACCTGAGTGAGAGGTAAAGCTGCCCCAAATTGTGTCCAGTGTATTACTGGGGAACAGGAGCAGTTATGCCAGAAGAGCTAATGAACTTTATGTGAGTAGCCCTTCACCCCACCAGAAAGATAAGGTGGTTTATCCTGAAAGGTGAATTTAAGACAACCCTTGTTTCCAAAATTCAGAAACACAGAGGAAGGGCCATCTGTGATTTAAACAGAGAGGATCCTTAGTGTACCAAAGGGAGCTTGCAGTAGCAAGCCAGACTTGTGTATCACCATTATGAACTGTCAGTAAGTTAAAAATAAGCATAACTTCATCCAACCCACAGCTCACTGCTTCCTAAAGCACATCTTAAAAAAAAAAATCATCTAAGCTGATGCAATGAAGCACATGCAAAATTTGTCTTCCAAGTTAGAAGATACAACAGGCTAATAAAGGTAAGGGAAACATCTGTTCCAATACTGCACCAGTATCATTTGGAGAAAATGACTGCATCACTTACAGCCGTTTGGTATCCAGAAATACTACCACAGTAATAGGATGTTGTCACCTCAGGCTCTACTGAAATCTACAGGAATTTTACTTGTTTAAGAATATGGGATTAGGCACATGATCAGTGTTTCTTCCCTTTGAAAATAAACATTTCCACTTACGATTTCTGTAGCGGTGTGAGATCATTATCTTGTGACAGTATTTTGTTCCACTGGCATTATCTCCTAATTAGCTATTTAAAAATATATGTAAGGGGGTGGAGGTGGCGAGTGGACTTGTAAACCTGACAGGTCTGATATGTTCTTACAAGCTCTGCTAATCCCAACCATTGAAATATATTAGTAAAACCAAATTAGCACTTTAAAGAACAACACAGCAAAGGCCTTGTGTCTTGAACCCCAGGAGTTCCGTGTGCAGCAGAAATGCTTTTGCACCCAGAGCAAAGCCCTTGGGCAGGGGAGGGGAGCAGAAGCAGGGAGAAGTGGGGAGCAGCATGCCTGAAGAGAGCACCATTGAAAGGCGGACGAACTCTACAGTGTGGTCAGCCCTACTTACAGTAGTATCGTCACCTAAGGTGTTTGATGGAGGACTTGTTGGAGGACTTCTAAAAAGCCAGGCACAGAGAAGTTTACCAGGAATGAAAAGATACAAGTAATACAGAGAGAAAACATCTAACAAAGTGTGTTTAATATCCTCTGCAATGTCTCCATATCCTGAGAGACTGTTGCATTTATGGGCACAAAACCATAGAAGCTTTCTCCAAGATGCTTCATAATGTTTGAGCAGGTCTGGGATCTCAGTTGTGGAATGGTAAGAAATAGGAAGATGGGTATTCTAATATGCTGGCCTCATTTCTTCTCTCAAGAGGCAGGCTAAATTCCTAAAAAACTCTCTTTGTAAAAAAAAAAAACAGGACACATATATACATGACAGGTCATTTTGGAGGTACTCAGACACATGAAGAAAGCACCCCCTTGGCAGTAGCATTCTTCTAGCCAGCAGAGATAAGAACTATGATTTGTTTCGAGTTGCCTTTAAACCTCAATTCAGTAAGTATGTTGATGATTTTCAGGGTGTTCTGAACAGTGGAAGGTGGCAAAGTAAATGTCTAAAGAATACTGATAGTGTGAGGCAGGCTCTCATCTGCCATTTACTCCAATCTCTCTGCAGTTTGATTCAATATGCAGCATGCAATATGACTTCTATTTTGATCAGATGGAATTTCTAGGCCCGATCTGCTTGCAATAACTACGATCCATCAACAACTTCACAGCAAGCAGGGAGGTTCAGAGGGAAAAAGTGATGTAAGCAGGAAGGGAATGAGTCCACATTAATGTCCTCTGTATATTTTTGGTTTTCATTGAAAGTTTTCTCTTGCTTAACATCACTTCATGAAATCATAGAATGATTTGGATTGAAAAGGACCTTAAACATCATGTAGTTCCAACCCACCTGCAGTGGGCAGGAGCATCTTTCATTAGACCAGGTTGCTCAAAGCCTGTCCAGCTTGACCAGCTTTGGTCCTTTTTTCATACCTCTTCAAGTCCACTTGGTGAATAAATTAAATTGAATTCCTCATTTGCTCTTGATAATTTTTAAATGCAAGCCAAGCCTCTTGGCTTATCATACCTGTATATCTACTTTTTAAAAAATGCTGTTGGATAATTTCTCTCTCTTTCATAGGCTGGTGCTTTGGCCCATATGCACCCTGTGCACTCCCTAAGGCTCATGCATAACTGCAATGGACGATTAGTCCAACTAAGTCTCCAGCAATTTCAATGGCTTATGCTAGAGTAGATGGGGTACAATATGTAATTTCAGCTTTTTTTGTAAGGGTTTTCAATCGTTCCATGAACTAAATCATTTTATCAGTTTCTCTCTCTATTTCTTTCTTTTTTTTTTTTTACTTTGTCCCATTAAACTACAGAACTGGAACATATTCATGAATAGTTTCTTTCTGCTTTAACTCAAGGAGTTCCTGACATAACAAAAACTGGTAATTAACTGGCTCGAAGACTTTTACAATAGCCTCTTTAAATAAGTCCTAGTATGCGGCACTTGCAGCACTGACTCCACATTGCTGATACCACTGCAATGCACCCTCTGTTAAACAAGGTTTGCTGCCCTACCTCAGCAACAATTCTTGGCTGATTTCTTCACTGCTCCCCTGCTTGGAAACACCAAAGTCCTCCCACATTTGTTTGTGTGGAAAAGGCTACCAAGGTCTTCCTGATGGCTCCCTGCTCTCAATCCACTCGGCTCTGTGGCATTTCCTTAAACACTCCATTACCAGAGGGCCACTTGCTACCAGCACAAGGACTGAGTGGCAGGTCTCCAGAGACTGGGCACAGTGGGCCTCCCTCCTACCTAGTGTCACAGCTGTGCTGTGCTGTTGGCACAGATGTATTTTGGCACATGTCTGCAGTACCCACAACCTGCTCCTGCCCCACACCTACTCAGAGCAGGAAGGATTCTTCCTGGTAGAAGAACCAGGCTTTGATTTTTCAGGTTTCACTCAGCAGTGTGTGATTTGTAGCTGCTGCTGCTTGTTGGCTCTAAGCATAGTCCATTTTGCCTACTCATGCTTATCTCCCCTGGTTACAGTACATTCTGTTTCTGATGAAAATATTACACTGATGAGTGTTTGGCTCTGCCATACTTTTATACTTCCTGCTAAGTAGCTTGAGCCTTATTGTTGCAGTTTCTAATATTTTGCATCATTTGTAGAGCTAGCAATTTAGTTTGTAAATAGCATGAAAGAAAGTTTTAATATGTATCTTCCCCCAGTGCTCCAGACAGATTGGTTGACTGTGGAACAATTACATACATATGTGCTAGCCTATATTTCTTGTAAAATCAAATCTTGTAAGGATGCCTCTGCCAGAACAAGCCATAAAGCTAGACAGGGAATGGAAAAAAACATTTCCAAATACGTACAGCTTAAGTTACAAAACTATAAAAAAATAAAGCAAAATTGAAAAGGGCGAAGGAGACAAAATGTAAACACAAGTTTTTATACACTCTCTGTAATATAGAGTGAGTGTCATTTTGACATGCTGGTATCATGAGCTGCCAATGTAGTTCAGAAAAGAAAGATATCTCCAGAATTATGGCAATGTTGCTCTCTTACATCAAAGCTAGTTACAAGATCTATGTCTGCGGTTGCCCAGCCTAACTGCTTACTTGGAAACTAAGCAAGGAGAAATAATTTCTTAAATACTTGTATTTAAAGTGTACAGAAAGATCATAAGTCTTCAGAACCACCTTTGGAAATCCCTTTTAGTGGGAGCTCACAACCACACCCTTCAGTGCAAAGAGTGCCTCAAGGCAGCTGAGAGCCCCCCCACACCTGCTGCACTCAGTCCTTCTGTAGGACGTCAATGAAGCAATTGTAGCACATCACTAAGTTGATTTTGAGCCTTTGAAAAATCTCCTCCTTAACACAAATACTCCACCACTGTCAGCTGGACACATCTAACTTTTGAATTAATGTTATTTTCCAGAGGTCAGACATGTGACAGCAACAACGGTCTTCAGCCAAGCCATGTATTTCAGGTCTGCATCTGAATTTCCCCAGAGCCCAGTACTGTTTAAATACAAGTAACTGACTCTGGCTCATCGCTAATGCAAAACTTCTGTTCTCCAGACTCCTTCAGGGCTCTGCTCGTGGCTTCCTTCCCTACACAGGCATAGGGAGACACATCCCCTCGGTGCCCTCTCCCTCAGTACACACTGCTTAGCAGGTCTGACAGACCTATCAGCCAGCATCTAGGAATAACGGCAGTGATTTTCCTTCCCATTTTGGCCCCATCCCAAAGAGTGCTGGGTGTTTCGGTGGAGCTTTAGATGGTAGCCACATGGTTTGTGAAGACTCATGGCTCCACCAAGGGCCAGAGCTGCCAGGCTGCCCTGCCACCACGGGCTGCTGGTCTGCCTTACACTCACAGGGTGGTGGAGTGAAGCAGAAGCTTTTGGAAGAGGGATAAGTGGCTGCTCACTTACATGGGTGGACAGAGGAAGACAAAGCCATCTCCACTCTGAGTATGGTCTATTTCAATTACATAGCAATTGTACAAAATACAAAACCAGCACTCTGTACAATGTTTTTTGGTGCTTATACAGATCTAGAGTGTTCAGAGGTATTTCAGGAAGCACTATTTCTGGAGGCACATGCAGCTCAAAGGTGCCTGGGCTCTGGCTTTGGTGGAAACAGTAACGTCTGTCCCACCATCCCAGTCCCTGTGACTCCAGCAGCCATTGGTTAGTTAGAGTATGCTTTGGGACAGGTCTGGTCTGTACACGGTGCCACAGTACAGTCCCCATGATAAGCAAGGCCACAGATTTCTGCAGTGCAGTTTCCCAGCAAGTCTGCTCTCACCAAATTCACGATTAACAATACCAACTAATATTGCATAAACATTGACCTTCATTTTCCCCATGCAATAATTCCATAAATCTCACTCCACTGCTGTGAACTGCTGAGAGGATTTGGGGGACATAGCCCCCCTTCTCCAGACTTACCTCCAGATGTACATGGCCAGCTCCTGGGACTTCTTTTCTATCTATCTCTCAGCACAGGTTGGGTCCAGATCTTCCGACAGCAACATTTTATTTTCCAGCCTGCTTTGTAATTCAGATAGTGTTTTGGTTCACTTGGCTGGCACCGAGTATTTTCACCACACCCGTGTCTCTTCAGACAAACAACCTCTTTTCTAACCTCTGGCAGAGCTAAACCTAGTGAGTAAGAAGAAACAGTAGTTAAGGCATAATAAATAAAGCCACCCTGAAGAAATATATACACAAAGCAAGATGAATGGGCATCATCTACCTGGACAGTGTTACTGCTAAACATGGGAGGAATAAATCAGACATGTCAGGAGCACTAGGATACCTGACAAACAGGGAATGACGTTTTTTGAAACTGTAGTTGTATCTCTTCTTGTTTGGAGCAAACACTTGTAATAGTTGTGGATTAATTTCCTTCCCATATTCAAAACAATAAAATTCAGGCACCATTTTATTAATTTCCAAACCAGTGCCAGATAAGCAGAATTGCATTTAAAAAAGTAAACACCCTGCCATAGAATTGGAGGATATGTAAGCGTTTGGGTTTTTTTTTCCTGTGTCTGTAAGAGGGGGAGGGCTTTAGCAGTATGAATAGATTTCATTTTGTAAGTTGTGCTACAAAGCACTGATAAGGCCACGGGAAAGCAGCAGAGATTGAGGCAGAGCAGGAAGAAATACCACCCATATTAGGAGACAGCCACTTACTTAGTTGCTCCCATTTAAATAAAGATGCCATTGTTCAGCCAGAAGAATGCACATATTCACAGGCTCTGCACAGAATAGCTCAGTGTATCTAGAACTCCAGAAGTGTCCAAATTACAGCCCCAGGGCCAAAACTGCCCTTAAGTCTTTCTGAAGAATGACCCTCTGCTTAATTAATCAGTGCTTTAACTGTGAGTGATCCCAGGACACCCTTTTCTCAGGCCTTTTTCTTAGCCCTGCTTGTTCAGAACAAACCTTTAAATGTTCTCTGAGTGATTTTTGACCATTTTTTCCCCTTTCAAGATTATTATTTCCTGTTTTACTGTGAAAGCTCATTAGAAATGAAGACCAGAATCTAGATGATCTCAGTTCAGTTTACTTGGATAGGAAATGACTGACTCAGGATGGAGAGACATTGGCTTCCTTTCAAGGCCTACCAAAAAAGATTAAGTCCATGGACTCCCAGAATACTGCTACTGCAATTTGCTTTCCATATGCTATGTAAGAATTATAGCAGGGCTGTTGAGTTTGTACATGCTATTTTGTTAGTCATATTTGATCCCATCACCATAACTCCAGTTGTTGTGCATGGGATCTTACCAAAATCTTGTTTCCATTTCCTCCGCACAAGACAAGTATGAATTTTCAGAACTGATAACTCCTTCTTGCTGTCACAGGCCAGGTCGTCTGGATTCTCAAAAAGTTGGATTTTTTGTTTGTTTGTTTTTATGGTTTTTTTTTGTTTGTTTGTTGTTTTGTTTTCTGCCTGGAGTAGAACTGAGATTTGATAGCAACTAGAAATGCATGAAGGCAGTGAAAAACATTTGCAAAATTTCTCTCCAGATTGGACTCTGCCTTGTCTATCTAGCTTTTATTATAAAATTCACCCTATTCTAACTGAAGTTAAACAGAGAAAGTCAAAAGATGTTGCTTGAAATGAAATTGGCAGCATCTTTTTTTTTTTTAAACAGTGATCTTTACAGTGAAAACCAAATTAATTTTGACCATCTTTATAAAGTTGTAACAAAATATAAAAACTAAAAAATGTCAAGGCTTTAAAAAAGTTAGCATGAATGTTTTGAAAAGGTATAATGATAATATAATCTGCAGCTGGGGAAGCTAGAGCCATACTGTTTGATAGGCCCTATCTTATGATATCCAATATTAAGCTAAGTAAAATGATATGACCGGATGGCCTAACTAAATTTAGTAGTCTGGTGAATTGCCACTCTACTAAATTTAGTCAGCCCATAATGGGCATTAGATATCTACAGCCCAAATGATAAAATCTATCTTACTTTTTTAGGCTCTTGGTGAATGCCCAACATACTATGTTGCACTATTAAGAAAGAAGTAAATCTGCAAGGAAAACCACGGGAAGGGGGGAACCAGGAACTTAAGGAACACAGGAGACATCAGGGTGTGTAAATCCACTGCCTCGTGCTCAGCATTACCCTGGCAGCAGGACAAAGAGCAAGAGTGCTCCCCAGATACGTGACCTGAAGGGAGAAGAGCTCTCTGGGTGCCCTAATCCTCCCCACTGTAAAGGTGCCACTCCAAATGTAACTTTATGGGAAGAACAGTGGTTACAGGTGGGAACTGGGCTCTCTGGGCCTTGCTGCTCCTACAGAACATAGGCTGGCTGTGTTTTCTTACCATTCTTCTATATTTTCCATTCTGGCCTTTGTAATCCTGGTGGCGGACAAGGAAGTATATTTCTACATAGATTTCCATGCATCTGTGAGCCAGCTTTACAGCTATGAAAACTGCTAAGTCATTTTTCTCAAAAACATATTTGAGGTGTTACTTACACAGCTCCTGCTGTTTCGGGGTATTTCTTCTCAGTCCATGGGTGCTGTGACCTCTCTACTGGTGTGAAACCACGCAGGACACATTTTTTTATTAAATGTGAAACACAATAAGGCTAGAAGCTTTTAAAAATTCTGCCATTAACAAGTAGAGAATAGAAATTGGACATGAAAAGTAATCACTGTAACATTATTCTCGTGTCCTTAAAAAGAGTTGCATCCTTCTGCCCTCATATAAGAAGCTACTGAATGCCCTGTGTTACTCAGTGATACTTCCTAATTACAGACAAGAAATAGTGTCCTTGTCCTCACTTCAGTCCCCAGTACAGCAACAGAGAAACAGACATCATATTCAGCAGGTTCTACAGATCTACTTTTATGCTGAAGGTTTAATATCATAAAAAGTAAGCTTTGATCCCCTCCCTGCAATAGGCAAATTTAACCTGTCTGAAGTTCTGTATGCATCATTCTCTGCAAGAAACGATTTTATCGATCATAGCTGGTTGTACATGTTCAACAGTCAGAGAGAGACTGGCTTTAAAGAATAATATATCTCAAATTAATCAGTATAGAAATTCCTCATTTCCTTAACCATTTACACGAAAATGGTACAAATAGATCCTTGGAAAAATGCTTTGTCCTTTTGTGGGGGAGCTTCTAAAATGGTAGCTACGAAGTAGGTGTGAAAATAAGATCATTACACCTATTATCTGTATGTACTCCATCCATGTAGATACAGTGTTTAGGAAACAAGAGAAAGAAGAAGAACAGGATCTCAACATTCAGAGCATTTCATTAATTTGTGACATTCCAATTTTCAGTTAGAGTTTGCCCTCTTGCAAGGTTTTTAAATCTAAGTTCCAAATAAATGGTTGTGGCAAATGTGGTCACTTGCTCTGAGTTCTCTCCTCAGAACTTTTGGAAAGGTTGGCTTTTTGACCCCAGTTGCATTTTGAGGTTGTGTAGGGCTCAAACACACAAGACTATCACAGATATCACAACGTGCACCTCTACCAGTGCCCCCATTGAGGTGCCAGCCCCCCCACCTCAGAGGGGCTGTCACAGAGGAAACAGACACCAGAGAATCCTACCTCAGCACCTAAACACATTGGGAACCAGGGTGCCCTAGTTCTGCTGTTCACACAGTAACTTGTTTTTCTTTTTATAATTATGTCTTAATCATTCTTTATGCTGAAATAATCATAACATATTTACAGCCAGACTCTATTTTAATTTTTGTCTTCAGATCACTTTCTATGTGGCCTCATACTGCCATTCTCAGCCCAAATGACACCCTTCCTATCAAAGCCAATTTGGATTTCTTTTCTCAGACACAAGTCTCCACGGTATTTCTGTCAAATGATTTACTCAAGTTCAGATGTTGCAAATAGATCTGCTGGTGTAAAGAGGCAGAGCAGTAACTCTGGATCTGACCCAGCCTGCATTGGGTTTCTCATCACTGTAGTTTGTAACTCTATAATGAAACCTCATTTGTGTAGCTTGGCTTCATAACCCATCAGACTTGATGCTTGCCTGCTCACTCCAGTTGTGCTCCTTGCTTTTAGTACAGATGAATACTTACTAGCAGGTAACCACTAGCATCATTTTTCCAAAAATCATTAGCTTTTTTGTAGCTGTTGCTTTTTCTTTTCTGATATGATTTTCCCCTTATCCGCCATGGGTAAATATTTGGAAAAATGCGTTAGTTTCTCACAGATCTTTGGAAGAGTTTCATCTAGATTTGCTCATTTACATATATTCATGTTTTACAAGTTTTCTCCCCCTCACTTTTTAATCAAACCCCCGTTTTCAGAAGGTTTCCACTTCTTCCGAATTGTCAGTCCTTATTATTTTTGTTAAAGACTGATTTTTTTCTTTAAAAAAAAAGCAGCTCCACTGCTCATCCATTTTAAAATCATAATTAACTTCATCTCCTTCCTCATTTGCTAATGGGTCTATTTTCTCTCCAGTATTTCCTTTTCCCCTGGTACACTTATAAAGTCTCTCTTGTTTCTCTTATCCCCTTTGGCTAACTTTAACTCATTCTGCCTTAAGCTGGGGAAAGGGAGACCTTCCCAACACAGTACTCAGAACTTCCACACCATTTTATACTTTCAAAGTCTTTTGCAGACATCAACTCATTAACTTTCATAACATGCCAGCGAGATAGAGAAGTATTTATAGCTTTATTTTGATGCGGAAAAGGAAAGAGAGGTCCTGAATAATCGATGCTGTCTGCAGAGGGGGCTGCTCCAAGGACCAAAACCCCTGTCTGTGTGCCCAGGCAAGTAGACAACTAAACCTGTTGGTGGGCACAACATCATCAATAGGAAAGCTGTAAAGCTGAGCTCGGGAAGAGAGTGAAAATTTTGCTTTCAGCTGCCTTTATTTCAGTTTATATTTTAGGTGAAGACTCCACAGATGTTACTCACCTAAGTTTCTGTTCAGTTCTGCTGGTCAGATGCTCCCATATGATATTAATACATCTGGCCAAAAAGGCTGTGAGAGAAAGCAGTGCAATTGTTTGCCCAGAGGATATTTTTAAAAACCTGTTGTTACTTTGTAAAATTATCTGACAAACATCTTTACTCTTTGATAGCCATTACTCTTAGAAAAACAATTTCAAAACCATATGCTCAAGGTGCTTGAACTAAAGTT